TTACACATGGGATCAAAACACATGCCCTCTTGGGTCTGGCTTATTTTGCTCAATATTTTGTTTTGAGATTCATCTGTATTTTGCATATGGTGGTAGCTTTGTCTTTTTTTCTTTCTGGGTAGTACTCCTTTATATGGGTAAGCCACAATTTTATTTATTCATTTTACTGTTGATGGGTTAGGGTGGCTCTACATTTCTTGAATTTTATGAATAAAATTGCGATGACCATTCTTGAACGTGTTTTCACTGTCATTACCTCTCATTTCTCTTAAGTATTATTTAGAAGTTGAAGACTGAGTCATAGAGCCAGTGTGTTTAACTTTAGTAGATATTTTCAAATAGTTTTTCAAGGTGATCAGGTCAATTTGCATACTTGAGGGTTCGCTGGGGCACAACCTTGCCACAATGTGGTATTGTCTGTCCTTAACACTTGCCTCTCTGGAAGCCGTGTATTATTATCTCATGGTGGTTTTGCTTTGCATTTTCCTGATGTGTAGTGTATGTCCTTCTGTTCTGGCGTTTTGAAACAATGGCACAAAAACCCAAACAGCTCTTTCTGCTTAGAGAAGAAATAACTGTTTTGCAGTAACACGGATCTGCGGGCAAGGGTCGTTCGTAGTATTGACCTGATATTTAAATACTATTGACCGAGCCAAAGTAAGAAATAAGCAAGCAAGTCACCTCGCCTGCTTTACTAAAATTCGTTTCTACTTCAAGCGCCAAGTAAGTGGGGATTTGGAATAATCTCCCTTACTTCCTGGCCTCACCCAAGTAAATTATCAATCTTGCTTTAAGCGTTGACCCCTAGTCCTAAAGGTTATGTAAGTTTCCTCTGGCGCTACAGGCCGGGGCTAAATGCAGAAACAAAGCCCCGGAGGCATGCCTCTGTAAGTGAGGCTCCGTTTTGCCTCATTGCCTAAATCATTAAAGGCACACAGGAATTACTGTCAGTTTGGGAAATGTGTGGGTCCCAGTTTACCTAAAAAGAGATTAAGATGATGATGACACCACTAACCGGGAAGTTTTCGGGCTGCACAATGAAGGCTTGGCCTCTGTTATCCCTGAGGTCCTTCCAACTGAAAGTCCCGGGGTCCTTCCCCCCGGGGTCAGCAGTGCAGGGTCTCGGGTTCTGTGCGTCACAGCTCTACCTTTCTCTTTCCAGCTCGAAGGAAGTGTAGTGATTGAACATACTGCTGTTCTTTGTCACAGTCACAAACAGGAGGGAATCGCCGCTTACATTGCCAGGGGGACATTTCCTAGAAGGCAGCACAGCAAAGACCCGACCCTGTGACTTGTCCCTCTTGTCTCTCTCCTGCAGACATGAACCCTTGCTGGCAAGTTCCCCATCTTCTCCTCCTTTGTATCCTCGGCCCCAGCATGATGCCTGGTCTAGAACTGGGAAAGTACTGCTAAACGGAGGGATGAGAAATCGAGAGGAATTTGTTGGGGGTGGCAAGACCCAGTTCTCTGCTGGGCAGTGAGCGTACGAGGATGGCCATGTGATACTGTGACAATTACAGGAAAGACACCTCCGTGGATTTGGAGGAAGCAGGAGAGAATTAGGCGTGCCTCGAGCTTAGCGGGTTAATGCCGAGGTTGTATGGGGCCCTTTCCTTCCGTCAGGAAGGCTCCTGCAGCAACCTTGTGGAGGCTGCAATGGAGGCGCGATGGGAGGTTCCTGAAGATCCTTGGTAACACAATCCCTGCCCATCTTCTCAGTCAGAATGGGGAGCCTGGGTCCCGCTTCCCAACACTTGCTTCGTGGGTTCTCTGCGAAGGGGAGGCTGGAAGATCGCCTCTGCTCAAAGCCTGTACAGCTGGCTGGCCAGGCTGGCTGCCGGGCCTGCAGGGAAGCTGGGTAACTGTGCTCCCAGCCCCACTTTAACGACGGCTAATGACACCCCCGGGCTCCGCAATTCTCCCAGCGGTAGTGGCCTGGGGGATGCTAATGCTCAAGGGTAAATCTGGGCAGATTAATCACACTCTCATCTGTTGTGTCTCTCAGCACGTTTAGTACCTAACAGAGCCTCACTGGCAGCTGGTGAGGCAAGGGCTTGATGGGACTCCGGAGGCATGCCTACGGTTGGGGGGGATGGGCCTGGTTCTCCGCCGCAGACACTTTCTCATGCAGCGTGGTGTTCAGAGCGTAGCTGGTCTGGAAACGTCTAGCGCTCCCTCAGGGCACAGAGTGTAGCTCCTGTCCTTGTTGGAGCCCAGCTGCCTGTGTGCCTTGCCCTGCTGGAGTCACAGCCCCGGGAAACCCCAAGGGGCCTGAATAGCAACGACGTCACCGAGATTCCAGGGAAGTGTAACTTGTCCCCGAGAGAACTTGTACGAGCACGGGTTCGGGGGCGGGGGGGGGGGGGGACAGTGTGCGGTAGTTACGAAGAAGGAGGTCGAGCTGCACGTGCTGACATGAAGCATCTTTAAGATACGTTCAGTTTTTAAAAACGGAGTTTAGTGTGGTGCCACAGCTCACCAAATCTACAAATGTAAGCATTTTTAATGCTTGTTTATTTATTTTTGAGAAAGAGAGAGAGAGAGAGAGAGAGAGAGCACAAGCAGGGGAGGGGCAGAGAGAGACACACACAAAATCTGCAGCAGGCTCCAGGCTCTGAGCTGTCAGCACAGAGCCCAATGCCAGACTTGAACTCATGAACTGTGAGATCATGACCTGATCTGAAGTTGGATGCTTAACTGACTGAGCCACCCAGTGGCCCCGAAGCCAAATGTTTTCTAATGATAGTTACATGTATATAAATACATTGAATCGGTCTATAATGAAATGCACCAAATCAACAACTATGGGACCATTCTAGATAAAAGTGGACTAAGGGGAGGACGGTCAGGGGGACTTTAGTTTTATCCATGTTGCTTTGGATTTTTTTTTTTTTTTTTTTTACCATGAGAATGTTTATAAACAGGCTGTGTCGTTAATAGTAGTTTAAAAAGCACTAATAAGCAAAATGCAGCAAAGATTCTATTAGAATGTACAAAATGTCTTTTTAGCCTGCATAATGATAGTCGAATCCACTTCAGTGTGGTCCGAGGCTTTGGAAGGTGATATTTTAAAAATGTAAACTTTGGGGGCGTCTGGGTGGCTCAGTCGGTTAAGCGTCTGACTTCAGCTCAGGTCATGATCTCACAGTCCGTGAGTTCGAGCCCCGCGTGGGGCTCTGTGCTGACAGCCCAGAGCCTGGGTAAACTTTGGGTATGCAGGCCAGCCCTTATTGCTATTGAGTATATCTTTATGTGTGTCTAGAGCCTATTAAAGGGCATTTGCCCCCAAAAGTTTTTATACTAAATATGTGTCTAAAACTTAGATGCTTCTCATCTGTCGGAATGTCATAATTGAGAAGACTCAAAATATCTAGTGAGGAGAAGCATGTGGAAATAGCCACGGTGTCACAGTGTGCCATTGATGACAGTGTGGGGTGGCCTGAAGTCTTTGAAGGGCACTTACCGCTTAACAAAATTGTAAATACTCATCTCTTTGACCTAACGCTTTCACTGCCAGGCATTTACCCTACATGAAGTGTGTAAAAACACATATTAGAAAGCACTCATCACAAGATTGTTTGTAAGCGCGAAATCCTAGAACTCTCCTGAATGTTCATACGCTTCTGGCGTGGGCACTGACGAGCCAGTAACAGTAAAGTGGATAAGTGAGGATGCTTTTGAGGTGGCATCAGTTAGACCTAGTGACTTCCGCGGCTGAACAGGGAAGGGACAGTGATAACCCTGTGTCTCTAACGTGGACGATAAGGTGCATGGTTTAGGCATTAATGGAGCTAGAGATAGTGCATGTTGTTTGTGGAATTATCTGTGGGAAGGCATCTAGTATGTGCAGTTAATTCGGGTGCTTGTGTGGAGAATAGGACTCAGTTGGAGGAAGTGTGGGGTGAGGTGGGGCGGTCGTCAAGAAGAGGAGAGTGAGAAGGAATGAGAACGAAAAAGAGGGTGGAATAGTGAATATAAACAATAAAATACGCATACAGGGTCAGCCAGACCTGTGGGTTTTACAAACATGAGCTCGAAAACCTGAGAAATTATGTAATTGAAGTGGTGAAAGCTACAAAGTTTTAAGTGATTGGAGTCTGATTTGAAGTTAGCGTTGTAGGGCAATAGTCTTTAAGCCAAAATGGCCCTGTTATCATAACGTGGGATTAGCAAAAAGACATCCAATCCAATGTAATGAGTCAGTGTAACAAGATTCTGTGAAAAGTCAGAAATGTCAAATACCAGTGGCTGACAAGTCCCTGTAATATCTGTAAAATGAGAATAAGAGTAATAATATATATTTACTAATGTAGATGTTAATGTATGGGCCAAGCACCGTATAAAAATGATCTCATTTAGTCCTCATCAAATCCTTCAAGCTAGTTGACTGCCATCCCAGCCTATAGATGAGGAAGTGGAGGCTTAGAAAGATTGAGTGCCTTGCCTAAGACCTCAGCACCGGCAGGTGAGAGATCTCTTGTAGAAGCTCATACCTTGGGCTCTTCAAAATGGTTTTCCTGCCACACTGTCTCCCTTTGGGGGTAATGATACCTACCTGTCTCCCTAAAAGATTGTCTTGAATTTCAACCTGGAGAATCCTGGGGGCAAAGGAAGTTGTCTTTTAAAATGGTACCCTAATGATTCTGATGTAGGTAGTCCATACTCTGGGCAACAGTGTTTTATATGTTTTGAGGATTATAAACCATGTCAATCCTACCAAATAGAATGGTAGTTATTATTACTGATTGCTATGAGAGTTTGCTTGGAAGGGACAGGTCAATTTCAGTCTAAAGCCCTGAGTGAATAGTGTGTGTGTATGTGTGTCTGTGTGTCTGTGTGTGTGTGTGTTTACTGCATTTATAGGTGTGCATGGATTTAGATCTCCGCCTCAGTGCCATCAGGCATGGCCAGCCATCTGGGTAGTATCCTTACTCATGCAGCTGAATGGCTTTTTCTAAGAACCACATAAATTACAGGCTTGCTTCCTCCTCATTTTCTAGGCATCAGCAGCAAACGGCTTGGTGTCTGTGGCTGGATCCTGTTTTCCCTTTCTGTCCTGTTGATGATCATTACCTTCCCCATCTCCATATGGATGTGCTTGAAGGTAATACCCTGGGAAATAAATTGGACTCTGTATGAGCTGATGAACCATTAAGACTAAATGCTCTCCCTTAATCTCTTAGATCATTAAGGAGTATGAACGTGCTGTTGTATTCCGACTGGGACGCATCCAAGCTGACAAAGCCAGAGGGCCAGGTAGGACACTGTGGGTGCCCCTGACAAGGATCACGGGCACCTAATACTATGACTATTGCCACCAAAACTTTTCCCGGCACCTTCTACTGAGAAGAAAAAAAAAAATCACAGGAAGCTGGAACCCTTGCCTCTCTGTATAATTGAAGGATGTGGTTCTGTTATGCAAGTAAATATGAATGACCACTAAACCATTAGTTTGAGAGTTTGGAAATCTGTTTCTGTCTCTTAACATTTCCCTCTGAGAGATTCAATGAACCTGAACAAACAGTGGCTCTGTTACGTTGGCTGGATGTCACTTATTACCGAGATCACTAAAGGAGTGACAGAAGAATGAGGGGAGGGAGTAAATGGCCAAGGTAGATGATTAAATTACTCGGGAAGAATATTCCAGGAGCTGGTTTTTGATTCTCCGTCTTCGAAAAGAGCTAATGGAAAAGTAAAAGGCAATTTCCTCTTCTGGCAAGTAGATTAATAGAAATATAGAGCTGGAAGCCATTGTAGAACTCCTTTGGCCAAGGGTAGTATTTCTTTTCATCTTTTCTCTTAGAATGAAGAGTGTTCTAAATTCATGTTGTAAAAGGTTGGGGTTTGGGAGAGGGGGCGTGAGAAGGTCTGAGGTACTAAAACTCTAGAAGTTAGATATTGATTTAATTCTCGTAACTTCTCTTGGTCTACGTGCAGTTGAACTATATGAAGTGGCTAATATTTGTTTTTGACTCTCAAACATGACAATTTCATGGGATAAATTCTACTATTTTGAAAGGAGAGGTCACCAAAAATAGCATCCTAGAGGATACATGAAAAAGACGGGTTATCTGCAATACCTCTCTAATAACATTTGTTTCCTTCTCCTTGTTATGATGTATGTGAGTAAACACGTTCTCTGTCCAGCTGGACTATAACCCCTCTGGGGGGCAGGAACTCTCCTATCCACCGTGATACTGCAAGTGCTCTGCACTTGACCATGCACCATGGTAGGCACTCAGATACCTGTTGCATAAAAAAATATAAGAAATTTCAAAAGCAGAAGCTTGCTTAAAGACAGTTGGTCATTTCAAGTAGTATAATCCTACTTGTGTAACTCTGTAAAGGACCTAAGAGAAAGAATGCAAGAATTATTTATGATGGATGGTCTCATGAGTTTGTCCAAATAGAAGTGTTAGACTCATCCAACTCAGGTGTATCGGACCAAGGTTGACCCCTTGTTGGTTATGTTGCATTTGGTGCGGCCAAATGTATAAGCAGGGTAAAGTTGGATAACCTGGAGGACTCTAGAGAAAACTGTATCTCTCTTAAATGAGTTTTCCCAGAAGATTTCACCACTAGATGTCCCAGGATAACTACTCTCGTCATACGTGTCTCTGGGGCTAATGAGTTACCTCAGAAAGCCGTAAGAACTAGAGGGAAACAAGCCAAATTGCTAATGGAAAACCTCTTCACTTTTGTAAATTGTCCATTATGCTTTAATAATGCAAGTGTTAGTAATAAGTTTTGCCAATTCTTTTTTTTTTATATGAAATTTATTGTCACATTGGTTTCCATACAACACCCAGTGCTCATCCCAATAGGTGCCCTCCTCAATGCCCATCATCCACTTTCCCCTCCTTCCCATCCCCCATCAACCCTCAGTTTATTCTCAGTTTTTAAGAGTCTCTTATGGTTTGGCTCCCTCCCTCGCTAACCTAACAATAATAACTAGTTGCGCGGATTAAGTCACATGTAAAGGATATTAGCCGTATCAGGAGGCCCTCTAACCAACCAACACACTGCCTAACATTGTCCTAGAGGTGTATTTTGGTCAAGACGCTTGGAGGGCACCCGGGTGGCTTAATCGGGTAAACGTCCAACTCTGGATTTCGGCTCAGGTCATGATCTCATGGTCGTGATCTCGCAGTTCATGAGCTGGAGCCCCAGGTCAGGCTCAGTGCTGACAATGCAGAGCCTCTTGGGAATCTCTCTCCCTCTCGCTTACCCTCCCCTGATCACAAGCACGCTCTTTCCCTCTCTCTCTCTGTCTCCCTCTCAAAATACATAAACTAAAACAGAAATCCTTAAAAATAATGTATCACATAACTAGGATATGATTTGTTGCAGTTATTTACCATAAGGTAAGATTTTAAGCTATATTTTCATTTTCTTAGGCTTGATCCTGGTCCTGCCCTGCATCGATGTGTTTGTCAAAGTTGATCTCCGAACTGTTACCTGCAACATTCCTCCACAAGAGGTAACGCTGGTTAAAGCTAAATCACTAGAAATAAAACCTGTATCTTCCCCATTACATGGCCAGTTGACATTTTACAGTTCGTTTTCAAACTATAGGAGGCCTGCTTGAGAAGCCGTAGGTGGGTCCTAAAACCACTGGGCTTTGCTTTGAGAATAAAGCCAAGGGCAAGGGTTGGATTGCTCTAAGCCTTGGAATGGCTGGGAGGGGAAAGTGCCAGAGGATAGAGAGAAAAGGTACAGTTGGCAGAGAATCTGGGGTGGGGAACAATAGACAAGATGCTCGGAAGAGTCAGGTAAGTTGTATAAAGGAGCTAAATTGAATTTGGTGGAGGGCAGGGTTTGGTTATGATATTATCCTTGCTGTCATCTTTCCAGAAGGTGATATATATATATATATATATATATATATATAGTGAGTGGATACAGCACAGTGGCTGGTCCTGGGGAAAGAACAGACATTGCACAGAGCCCACTGGCATTTGGATTTCAAATAACTATTTTCAGTTCTTTTTTTTTTTTTTTTTCAACATTTATTTATTTTTGGGACAGAGAGAGACAGAGCATGAACGGGGGAGGGGCAGAGAGAGAGGGAGACACAGAATCGGAAACAGGCTCCAGGCTCTGAGCCGTCAGCCCAGAGCCCGACGCGGTGCTCGAACTCACGGACCGCGAGATCGTGACCTGGCTGAAGTCGGATGCTTAACCGACTGCGCCACCCAGGCGCCCCCTATTTTCAGTTCTTAAAGCACTGTAAATAAATATCCAAGACCAGTAACTGGGCAAAAAGGGAGGAGAAACAGAGTAACTAATAACCAGAAGGACTCACGAAGAGGAAAGAAAATAGGAGTGGGACCTACAATGTGGGAGGGCAGAGGTGACGAGAGGGTTATGAGTCAACGTTAGTTTTCTTTTCTCTGGCCCAGGAAACTCGGTCAAGATCCGGCAATCCTCTCACCATGCCACTGGTGGGAACTGAAGAGTCCTTACTTTGGGATTCGGCCTGTGTCATGAGAGCGTTTGGGATGCCTTTGCGACTTATCGTGGGCCTTTTCATCAACAGTTCTAGATGGGAGAGGGGAGGCCTAAGTTCTGCTCCTATGCCAGAGATCTCTCAGTGGCTGCAGAGACCCTTGTCACCTCATTCAGAACGATTAAGGCAGAGCCTCTGTAAAATATAGACTATAGAACATTCTCTCTGTCTGAATGCAGAACGCGGTCTCCGGTGACATCTATGTTTTCTAAGAAGCACTGCTGTTCGTCAAATATGATAAAAACTGAAAACCAAAATGTTTTCAGGCATCAGGGAGACAAGCGTTCTACCTCTGTTTAGAGAGTAGAATTGCAGAGAGGTGCTCTTGCTACGTTGTAAAATACAAGTGCTGATTCTCACCAGCGCAAATCAAGGGCCTCGGGGTGTAAGACTTCCCCGAGATGAAGTTACGGGGCTGGGGACGGACTACAAATGTATAGGAATTTTTGTCGCCAACTACAATGATGTTGTACTCAAGCCAGGGCGGATTTTGGGTGATGCTGGCACGAGCCGTAATCATTAACGCTTTCCTCCCGTGGAGAGGGCTCTTAGGCTGGCTGGCACTTTGTCAGTCGCTGTGCAAGTCGTAGTAAACACGTGCTTTTCCCTGTTCTTGCCCTCCAGATCCTCACCAGAGACTCTGTGACTACCCAAGTGGATGGAGTCGTCTATTACAGAATCCATAGTGCTGTCTCTGCAGTGGCTAACGTCAACGATGTCCACCAAGCCACGTTTCTGTTGGCTCAGACGACTCTGAGAAATGTCTTAGGGACGCAGACCTTGTCCCAAATCTTAGCTGGCCGAGAGGAGATCGCCCACAGCATCCAGGTAAAGTTGCTGGGAATGAAAAGCCCGTATCTTTAGTCGGTTCATTTAGTGATCAGTAATCACCAAACATCAGCAGTTCTAAGAGCCCCTCTCACGTGCATGCACACACACTCACACAAAAACCATACGCGCGCACACACACACACACACACACACAGGGCCGCTGTAAACATTGGGCCTCAGTGTTGGGTTTTATTCCTTTCTAATCACAAGGTATAGATTTTGTTTATGTATTTATTTATTAAAAAAAATTTTTAATGTTTTATTTTATATTTGAGAGAGGGAGAGGGAGACCCAGAATCTGAAGCAGGCTCCGGGCTCTGAGCTGTCAGTGCAAAGGCCGACGCGGGGCTCGAACTCACGACTAGTGAGATCATGGCCTGAGCTGAAGTCGGACGCTTAACCGACTGAGCCACCCAATCTACAAGGTGGATTTAAATTTTGGAGCAGGAGAAGGGGAGCCATAGGAATTGTACACTTCACCCATTTTGTTTGGAATTCGAAATTATGACTTAGCATTGTTCACGTTAGCTTTTCTGAAGAGTTTAGAGTCCTTTTTAGCTTAGGTTACTCCAGAAGAGGGGCCGCCATTTCTCAGTCAGCCCGTGTGTTTCTGCATGTAAGTGGAATATTAAAACAGGATTCGATGGAGACAGCACGGACCTGCCATCCCTGGAAAATCTGACATCACACTACCAATATCAGTAATGACGTCGGTAGTAACCATAATTATAATATTGATGAGGACGTTGCAGGCAGCCTCCTCACCTCTTGCACACCCCAGTTTACAGACAGATTTGTGTATGTTTTTTAAATCAATTATGTTTTGATTCTGAGCCTCCCTTCCGTACCTTAGGAGGGAAATTCAACTTTGGTCTTGGCATCTCCTCAGTCCCTACCGTTGGCACAGAGTCCCCAAGGTTTCATGAGATAATATCAGTTCTGCATAACCCTCCAAATCATTTGTAAGAGCCCCATGAGTTTGACAAGTTGGATGTTTCCCCTGCCACCGTCTGGTCACTGGCTCCTTGGGAGGTCTCCCCATCTCCCCGGGTTCTGCAGACATCATGGAAAGGCGAGAGATCACTTGCCATTTGGTAGCACAGAGATCTCTACTGCTTGTCTGATCTTACTGTTTCGCAAGGCAGTTTTTTTTTCATCCCTCCCCATCCAGGATAACCGACGTGCTATCCTAGGGTGGTCTTAAGTTTTTACAGAGGACAAAAATATCTTTGATTATAGGCTGCTTGTGCTCTACAAAAAAAAAAAAAAAAAAAATTGTGCCTGGCTACCTGTTTAAAACTGGACACAGGGCAGAGGTTAAATGGAGCAAGGCACGTAATATCTCAAAAAGTACCCTACGGTATTTATTGAGTTATTGTGAGGCACTGGTAGATTTCTTACATATATAGTCTCCAAGTCTCACGAGAATCCTGAAAGGAAACCTTTTAAGGATGAGAAAACTAAGAATCAGAGAGGTTAAGCAACTGGCCCAATGATGCACAGCTGCAATGGCAGAGCCGGGACAAAATCCAGGAATGTCTGAGGAGCCAGTGTGCTGCTGCCTGCTTGATGTCCGTGGCAAGAAAATGTGGGCTATTTGCTCAGCTCTAGGTGGATGACATTAGGAATAGTTTGGGGGTCAATCCTGATAGCTTTTGAAAGATCTATCTGGCTATGCTTCTGAATCCTTCCTGGGATTCACTTCAATTCCTGGACGTGATCGGTAAGGACTCCTATTCCTTTCCCGAACGGTCCCACTCCAAATGCCGTGAGTACAAAAGGAGAAAAAGAAGAGGGATTTCTCTTGCAAATAGAAAGCACATCCGTAATATCACTTGCCTTCTGAACCGTGGACTTTCTTTTGCTTTGGAAACAGACCTTACTTGATGATGCCACCGAGCTGTGGGGGATCCGGGTGGCCCGAGTGGAAATCAAAGACGTCCGGATTCCCATGCAGTTACAGAGATCCATGGCAGCCGAGGCAGAGGCGACCCGGGAAGCCAGGGCCAGGGTAAGGGCTACTCTGTCTACACTGCAAGATGCCTCCCCTTGGAGCAGACAGGAACAGACCTTGAATGGAAGATCAGGCGTTCTCCATTATTTTGTTAAGAAAAGGGTTTCTTTTTCACGGTCTTTACTGCGAATTTCTTCCTGAATTAAAAGGTAATGGGGGGGCGCCTGGGTGGCGCAGTCGGTTAAGCGTCCGACTTCAGCCAGGTCACGATCTCGCGGTCCGTGAGTTCGAGCCCCGCGTCGGGCTCTGGGCTGATGGCTCGGAGCCTGGAGCCTGCTTCCCATTCTGTGTCTCCCTCTCTCTCTGCCCCTTCCCCGTTCATGCTCTGTCTCTCTCTGTCCCAAAAATAAATAA